AAAAAAAAAAATCTTTCCTACCTTAAAATATAATTTTTCTTTCCAATTTTTTTTTTTTTTTTTAAAAAAAACGTGTTAAATAAAAGAAGAAAATGCACAGGTTAATCCTTTTTTGGTTCTTTATTTTTTTATTTTTATTTTTTTTTTGTTCTTTATTCGAACACTTAAACTAGGGAAAATATTTTAAGGTATATTTTTTTTAAAAGAAATATATATATATATATACATATATATATATATATATTATATGTATATATATGTATATATAAAAATATGAAACGTATGAAAGAAAGAAGTTTCCTTAAGATATAGGATATATAGGATGAAAAAAAAGGAGATGAGAAAAAAGATGTTAAAAAAAAAAAAGGGAAAAAAAAAAAATTCGAAAATCGTAAAAACTCATAAAATTGTATATCGACAAGCCATTTAAATAAAAAATAAGTTAGAGAAGAGAGATGAAAAGTAAACATCAATTCCCAGATTTGGAAAGTATACACGCTTTACAAATAAGGTTATTATATTTTTAGTAAGGTAGACGCGTTATTTGAGCAGCTTAATTATCAAGGATTACGATAAGAAGTATAACACACGTTACACGAGCAAAGGGAAAAAAGATATAGCATGTATAATATTTAAATACCGAAAAGGGTTAGAAACCAAGTAAAATTAATAATAAAATAAAGAATTAGGGTCGCGTCAAAAAAGTAAAAGATTATAACAAAATTAGATAATCTCTTTCTATTTATATTTTATACAATAATAATACAGATAATACGGGAGAGCAAGTATTTTTATTATTTTTAATTTCCAATTCAAAAAATCTAAAAAGAAAGGAATTAAATATTGGTTAGAATTTTGGTAACACGAAAGGTGAAAAATCCGATTATGGAAAAATATATCAAAATAAGCAAATGCCTAAATAGGATATCTCTACCTACGGGCTGATTCTCGGTTCTTTCCTTTCTCTTTAACTTCATTTTCGTTTAGGTTTCTTAGTTAAACATATTATTTCTATTTCGTGTCACAGCCAAATTTCTATAATTTAAATAGTGAATGCAGCCATAAATTAGCTGTGCTTATATTTGTTTTTATCATACATTTCCGGTCCAAATTAATTTGGCTAGAACAGAATAATTGAATTTGAAAATATACAAATAATTATCAAGAACCTAGAGATCACGTGGAATGGCTTATTTATGAATTAATCGACCGTTTTCGTTTAGGTTTTTTTGAAACAATACCTAAGATAATTTTTTAAATTTAATATTATTCAAAGAAATTATAATAAAATTTAATAAGTAATAAAAAAAAAAAAAAAAAAAAAATAGAATAGAATAGAATAAATATAAATAAATAAATAAATATAAATACGTATATATAATATTTATTTATAACAACTTTTAGGTTGTAATTAAAAAAAGGCTTTTCAATGATTATGATACTGTACACCCTGTCTCTTATACACATCTAGATGTGTATAAGAGACAGCTTTTAGGTTGTAATTAAAAAAAGGCTTTTCAATGATTATGATACTGTACACCCAAAACTAATAAGGGATTTTAGAGTGGCTCAATGAAAAAATTTATAATCTAACTTATATTAGTAAAGTTTGATAATCCATTGACATGAATATATATGAATATATGAAAATACTTGCGTTAAATTAAATTTTTTTTTTTTTGATATCATTTGAAAAAGGGGTCAAAAAGATTATCTTTTTTTTTTTAAAAAAAAAAAACTTGGGCTGTAACGTTTTTAATTTTCAGCTTAACACATTTTATTGATAAGTAAAACCAGCAA